GTTGGAAGGGACCTTAAACCTTCTCAGAGAAGATGGTGCCTTTCCTGGTCTAATCCTTTATGTATTTGAAGCATTCTAAAATTTAGCAAGAACATTCTAATAATAATAAAAAAAAAGGTTATGAAAAAAATAATGAGAAGTTCTGTTGAATTGCAAACTTTTATGAAAGCTGTTTTCATGCTCTTTAAGAACTGGGACATAACACAGTAAGGCAGCTTACAAGATTTGACTGTTGCTGCATGCTGCCAGGGGACCAAAGATAAAATATATATCAGAGTAAAAAAAAATAAAAACCACATATTTCTAGAGTCCCCTGATTATCCTCGTGGCCCTCCTCTGGACTTGTTCCAATAGTTCTATGTCCTTGTCCTTGAGGACACCAGAACTCTACACGGTACTCCAACTGAGGTCTCACGAAAGCAGAGTAGAGGGGCAGGATCACCTCTTTCGACCTGCTGGTCACGCTCCTTTTGATGCAGTCCAGGATATGGTTGGCTTTCTGGGCTGCAAGTGCACACTGAAGCTGGCTCATGTTCAGTTTCTCAATGACCAACACCCCCAAGTCCTTCTCCGCAGGGCTGCTCTGAATCTCTTCTCTGCCCAACCTGCAGCTCTGCCTGGGATTGCTCCAACCCAGGTGTAGGACCTTGCACTTGGCATGGTTAAACTTCATAAGGTTGGCATCGGCCCATCTCACAAGCGTGTCAAGGTCCCTCTGGATGGCATCCCTTCCCTCCAACCTATCAACTGAACCACACAGCTTGGTGTCATTGGCAAACTTGCTGAAGGTGCACTCAATCCCACTGTCCATGTCACCGATAAATATGTTGAACAAGACCGGTCCCAACACTGATCCCTGAGGGACACCACTCGTTACTGGTCTCCAGCCAGACATTGAGCCATTGACCACAACTCTTTGTGTGCAGCCATCCAGCCAGTTCTTTATCCACCGAGTGGTCCATCCATCAAATTGATGTCCCTCCAATTTAGAGACAAGGATATCATGTGGGACAGTGTCAAATGCTTTGCACAAGTCCAGGTAGATGACATCAACTGCTCTACCCCTGTCCATCAGTTCCATAGCCCAATCATAGAAAGCCACCAAATTGGTCAGGCAGGATTTCCCCTTAGTGAAGCCATACTGGCTGTCACCAAGCACCTTGTTGTTTTTCATGTGCCTTAACAAGCCTTCCAGGAGAATCTGCTCCAAGATTTTGCCAGGCACAGAGGTGAGACTGACTGGTCTGTAATTCCCTGGATCATCCATTTTCCCCTTCTTGAAAACGGGGTTATATTTCCTTTTTTCCCATCATCAGGAACTTCACCCGACTCCTATGATTTTTCAAATATGATGGCCAGTGGCTTAGCAACTTCATTCATCATCCTCTTCAGGACCCCCGGATGGATTTCATCAGGTCCCATGGACTTGTGCTTGTTCAGGTTCTTAAGATGGTCTCAAACCAGATTCTTTCCTACAGTGGGCCAAAGGTCTTCATTCTCACAGTCCCTGTGTCTGCCTTCCAACACTTGAGTGGTGTTGTCAGAGCATTTGCCAGTGAGGACTGAGGCAAAGAAGTCATTAAGAACCTCAGCCTTCTCCAAATCCAGGGCAGCCAGTTCTAATAGCTTCCAGAGAGAGCCCACATGGTCTCTAGTCTGCCTTTTATCTGCAATGTACCTATAGAATCCCTTCCTGTTATCTTTCACATCCCTAGCCAAGCTTAATTCTAACTGTGCCTTAGCTTTCCTAACCTGGTCCCTAGCTTCCCGGACAACATCCCTGTATTCTTCCCAGGCTGCCTGTCCTTGCTTCCACCTTTTATAAGCCTCTTTTTTCCTTCGAAGTTTCATCAGCAGCTCTTTACCCTAAGTACAGGGGACGCTTGAGGCCCCTGCACAGTTTGGGCCTGCAGCAAACAGTCCTGCTTCCTCTCAGCTACCCTGACATCTCGCAGCCTATTAACAGCATCCCGCAGCTCAGCCCCTGCTGCAGGAGGACCTCCATTAGGAAGCACCGAGTGCAGCCCTGCCCATTGAGCACCCTCCCCTCACCAGACCAGTGCAGGCACTCTCTACACCCAGAGTTCTGCACTGCAGCCTCCCCTCTCACCGGCTCTGTCTGGGTGCCTGAGCTGGCCACCGCTGGGGCAGCCAGAGCAGAGCTCCCGGACCGGGCCCTGCTCACACGCCGAGCGCTCACCACCCCGCTCGCCTGCCCGCCCGAGCTGCCTCCACCCGCTCTGTTCGCCGCGCTCACTGGGGCAGGTTTTTACCCATCTGGGCTGGTGCCGCTCCTCCTGGCTCCGCCCCCTGTGAGTCAGCTGCTCTCTCGCGTCAGCTGAGCTGCCGGCTCCTGGTCAGGGCCTGCGGAGGACTTGAGGCTCCCCGGGTGGTTGTTGTTGCTCTGGGTTGAGGCTCCTGGATGCTGAGCTTTCCCCTGCTCAGGTGTTGAAGGCGTCCCCTATCGAGCTACTCACCTCAGCAACTGACCCCACCTCAGCAATTGACCCTCACCTCAGCAGCTGATCCAGTCGTTTAATTGGTTTTCCTTGGATGCTGTTATGATGTCTACATATCTCCTAGACTTTAATATGCAGCTCTGTGAAACAAGGAAGAATAATCTCCAATGGGCTGACAGGTCCTAGCAGCACATACAGGCTTAGTGATTTCCCAAAGATCAAGCAGCTTTGTGGCAGAGCAGCGATGATTATAACTGCGGCTTTCCAGAAGAGACAGGTACAAGCAGAAATCCCGGCTTGTCGCTTTTTGAGGCACTTCCATGTCACTTAGGGTCACTGCTTCAGGAAATCTGAAATCTCAAGATCCCATCAAAACTCGCCTATCAACCAGTGTTAAGCTGTTCCTCCCCAGGGCCCAGCAGATGCCAGAACATACTCTCTGAAACATAACATTATAAAAAAAAAAAAATGGATTTTTCCCAAAGAAACATCTGCCTGATAAAAATTGTCAGGGTACCAGTGATGAGGGAATACCATGTTGGGAGGACAGGCTCATAAAACACTTTCAAAAAAGACTCCTTATGCTTTCAAAAATCACATTGAATTGACACCCACTAGTCCAGAAAAGCTTAGTATCAAGCAACAGTTTTCCTCGAGTCTAAATGGCAGAGCTCATTGCTGCAGAAAACTTGCTGGTTATCATCCAGAGAAACAGAATATTTTCAAAATCTAGTTGAAGCTTTTGGTAGTTATTTTCTTCTTAAAAATGCAGCCTAACCATTGCTTTTTTGTAACTGAAAAACAGAAAAAGCAAGTGGAAAAATTTGCTTTAGAACGTTTGCTCTTTCAGTTTAACACACGTTAAACTGAATCGTGCAGGTGCAGTTCTACTCATGGTCTTTTTGAGGCCTCTTGACTAGTCTGGCTGTGAACATCATGACACATGCCAGTTATCTTGCCATAACAAGACTCCATATGACATGAGCGAAACATGGGGCTCAGGGCACCCCAAAGGGACTCAAGTGACCAGGGGAGAACAGGCCTTATGCCCCCCACAGGAACACTCTGTCCCTCACGGTCTGAGTGGTGGGTTACCATGGTGCCCTCTGTGAGCATCCCTTTGTGATGTGCCCTTTGTGACCCACCATGGTGCCCTTAGTGACGTTCTCTTCCTGACCCACCAGTGGCATCCTCTCTCTGACCCACCGTGGTGCCCCCAGTGACGTGCCTTTGTGACCCCCCCAGGCCACTGTGTAAAAGGCCTGGGTCATACCCCTCATGCCAGTGTCCAGCAGGACGGTGACGGGACAGAGTGGGAGCGCAAGGCTGGTGCAGACCCCTGAGCACAGCCCACGTTGTTCCCCGCTGCCCCAGCAGTCCCACGGTGCTGAGACACTTTTGGAACATTCTTCGTTCCCCACCCTATACCTTTGTCTGACGAGGATGGTGGAGGGACACGCTGCATCCATGCAGTTCATCCAGACTTTTCTGAAGAGCTCAGTGAAGGTAATTGCAGCCATTTCCAGGGTAGCAGTGCCTGCGTTTCCTGACAGGGCCACCGGCTCTGCTGCCAGGGCTGCTGGAGGCTGCTGGGGGCTGCTGGCTTGGCGGGGTTGCTCCACCAGGTTCTTGCACAGCACTGCAGCCCCAGTGCTCCAGTCCTGCTGGCCCCTTCTCACACTGCCCGTTTGTGTCTCTTGTTCCCTGGCTGCCCAGGAGGAGGCTCAGAAGATTCGGTTCCTGCAGACCATTTCCACCCTGAGCAAGGCTGCCAGAGAAGAGGGCTTCTCACAGGAACTGAAGGAGTTCTACCACCGATTTCAGGTGGCAAAGAACATCGAGGTGAGGGGACCCCCGGCTGCTCTGGGGAAGGGGGCAAGTTGCCAGGCGCCGGCACACTGTGAGGACACACAGGGACCATGCAGGGGGAGGGCAGGGACCAGCGTGCGGTACAGACACTGAGCTGCCTGAGGGGATGCGGGTGTCGCTGAGCAGCCCTGCAGCAGGGCTGTGCTGGGGGCCAGTGCTGGGCTGGGGGCAGAGGGTCTCCTCCAGCCCTGCTGCCTGGTGCTGGCAGTGGGTGCTGGCAGCCACCAGGTCCCATCCCGGTTGTGTTCTGCAGGCGCTGGTGGAAGAGGAGCCCATGGATCACCTGCACACAGCCGTGCGGCAGCAAGCCATGCTTGCCCTTGCCCGCATGAGGTATGTGCACAGCCCCTGGTTTAGGCTGACACCTCTGCACAGTCCATGGCCCTGGGCCTGCCCATGGGCATCTCCCATCCAGGCAGAGTCCAGTGGTGCCCTCAGAGGGCCTGCTCTTTGCCCTGCTCGTGGCTTGTAGAGAGATGGAGGGGAAAGCAGAGGGATCCCTGCAGGTCCCCTCCTTCTGAAAGTGGGAGGCAGGAGGCTTTCCTGCCAGGACTGTCCTTCAGCCTGGTCCATGTCAAGGAGGGAGGAGATGCCTCCTGGCAATGCTGCCTGCACATCAGGGCTCCATCCCTCTTGGGGGCCTCTGCTCCAGAGGTCTGTGTTCATCTGCCCAAGGCATGGAGGCAGCGCTCCCAGCGCCCGCATCTCACAGGTCCCTCTCTCTCTCTTTTCAGCAAAGTGGAGATGGCACTGCGGGGCAAGAGGAAAAGCCTTTTGGAGGCCTGTTTCAGGAGTGTCTTCTTGCTTCCTCCTAAAACAGACATGCAGGGCCTAGACAATTTCCTCTACTTTAAGGTAAGTGCTGTTGTGCTGTCAGGAGCACTCAGAGCTGCTCCCTGGCTGCCATGTGCTGAGACAGCCAGACATTCAAGGCACGGCAGGGTGTCAGCTTTGCTTTCCCACCCTCATCCCTTCATCTCCTTCCCCTGGGCCTTGCCATGTCCAGTGCCTCTGGACTGGCTCCTCTGCCCACCGCAGCTTGTCTGCCCCAAGGCCTCCCCTGGCCAACCAGAGGTGGCAGGGGTGTCCTCCCCTGGCATGGGGAGTTAGACCTGTCCCCAGGAGGAGAGGGACTGCAGAAAGACTGACACAACCTTTCTCCTCCTTGCAGACCCTGGATGCCATGGACATCCTGCTGAAGAGCTTGGTGCTCAGCTCCCCTGGCTACGGGGACCTGAGGATTATCTTGCAGGTGCGGCACTGGCAGAGAGTGAAGTTCGCAGGGGCTGTTCCTCACCCTGGAGACACAGGAGTGTCCACTCTGGAGTGGATCGTGTCCTCCCCAGCACCATGCACACAGCACACCGCAGGGAGGGTGCTCAGCTCCTTTGGGGGACCCAGACATGGCCCATCATGCTCTTCCAGGAGCAGTGTGTCCCCTGGCTGCAGTCAGCGTCATTTCCCCACTGCAGCCTCCTTCTGTGCCATGGCAAACCCCGGCCCATGGCACTTTTGGGCCAGCTCCATCGCCAGAGCTTTACTTGCACCAAAGGAGTGGGAAGCATTGACCCCTCTCCTCAGGCACCGCAGCAGTGGCTGCGGGTGCTGCTGCCTCTCAGTCCCTCCTGCTTCTCTGCCCAGGTCTGACTGGGGCAGAGACCCACTGGAACCTGCCTCTCCTGCACAGGGAGCCCAGCCCGGACGCTCTGCACTCCTGGCTTCCCGGAGAGCCATATTCCCATTCCCCCATTGCAGCCCCACCACCCCTTGGCTGGGTGCTGCCCAAAAGCCCAGCCTTCATGGAGAGGGAACACAGGCCTGTGCTTTTGGGGAGGGGGCAGAAAGAAGCAGACTCTACCCTGGGGTGGCATCTGCCTCCCTTCAGGGCCACAAAGACTGCATGGGTCCAGTCAGGACTTGAGCAGTGCTGCTGCTGCTGCTGGCAAAGGCACCAGTTCCCAGGGCACAGCAGCACTTTCTCTCCTTACAGATGCTGCTGCCTTTCACCGACACTAAGAATGCAGCTGCGTGTGAAAGGGCCATGGTGAGGATTGGGAAGCTGGCCAATTGGATGGACAGCTCTTCCTCAGTGCAGGTAAGGAGGCAGGCACCCTCCAGCCAGGCTGTCTCCCATTCCCTGCCCACCGTGGGCAGCAGCCTGCAGCTCGAGATGCCTGAGGCATTCAGCACGGCTCTGCCCTGGGCGAGGGTCTCGGCTCCTTTTTTTTTCCCACGGTCTTTCCTTGCCAGCGCCCTTTCTGCCACGAGCCATCTCAGTTCCCAGTTCTGTGCAGGACAGCACTGCCCAAGCAGCATGGTGGGAGGCCAGGCCTGGCAGCTCTCCCTGCCCTGCTGCCCAGCTTGCTGCATTTGGAGGGCCCTGCAGAGCTCTGGCATGCCAGGATCCTTCCCTGGGGCAGACTCTTGGGTTCATTGCTTTTGTCGCAGCTGCTGCCTCTCAGCCCTTCTACCTGTTCTGCCTCCCTTGCTCAGGTCTGGAACTTGCTTGCAGCCGACAACAGCTCTTCCCACGACGACACTATCCATGACCGCCTCCTGGGACAGCTGCTGGGACATCTCATTGTTTGCTGGACTAGCAAGATCTGGGAGATCCAGCGTGCGGCTTTGGATACTCTTCATTACCTCTGCAGATTCATCCAGCAGCATAAATGTAAGAGAAGCTGTGTCAGGCTGCATCCCTCCACACACAGATATATCCTCGTAGTCCTGCTTGTTTCCCCAAGCATTGCAGTGGATTCTTTTTGTGCTTGCTGGAGGCTGTCCAGGAAAGCCTGCCCTCTTCCCTCACCTCCTTTGCCCCTCACAGCTGCTTTCCCACAGCATCCCAGCTATCGTTTTGCTGCAGAAGCTGAATGCTTACCACAAGTGCAGCACTGTGCTGCTCTCATTCCCACTCTTCTCAGGACCTCTCAGAACCCAGCTGTTCCATGGTCCCCATAGCCAAAGCCATCCTTGATGCTAAGCAATGCTGTGTCCTAATGACTATTCTGTGATCCCCTCTTGTTTAGGCATGACATCACCAGAGGATAATCTAAAGCATCCCCAGTGTGGAGGCAAAAGGAAATCTGGGAAACCCTCCTGGCTTCCCCTGTGCAGCACCAGGAGCATTGTAAAGGTAATGAGCTTCTCCCTTGCTGGGCCTTGTCCCAGGGCATCATCAGGAGACTGGTGTGAGCAAAGGGGTCCAGAACCAGCAGGCTTGGCATGTTCTCACTGTCCCTGGTGAGAGGGTTGCTGCTGCTCTGGAGCAGGGACTCCAGAGGGCTGCACTCCGGTGTCCCAGCAGCAGCTCCAGCTCTCCTGGCCACCAGGAAGCCCTGCTTCTCTGTAGGGCCAGCACACCGTGCCCACAGCCCCAGCCCTCCTCCCTCACCCTGGGCCCCTCTCTTCTCATCCTCCCCCCCACAGCAACTGCAGCCCCTGCTGCCAGCTTTCCTGTGGGTACTCTCGCCAGAGCTGCTCTCGCTGCTCAGCTGAGCAGCACTATCAGGGCACTCGGTGTGAGACGCCTTCCCTGCCTTCCTTCCTCCCGCAGGCATTTGGGGAAGACCTCCACCCCCCTGATAAGACGGTCATCCTTGTCAAGGCCATCGAGGCCATGAGAGACTCATGCACATGCGACAAGGAGGAACTGATCAGCATTGTCGATGTGGCCATGACAGAACCTGCCTCCTGGCTGACGGAGGTAAGCAGCCTGTGGCTGCCCTGCCTTGAGCCCTTTCAGGCACTGTTCCTCCCTACATTGGGCCTTCCCTCACCCAGGTGCCTCAGGCACCTTGAAACCATTTCATGCAAGCAGAGTAGGATGGGAAGGGCAGCCATTTCAGTGGCAGTTGAGGAAATGGCTGCAGCCTGGTGGCAGCACCACCCTCACTCATGTGCCCTCCAGGTGCCAATCATCGTTAGCTGCATTTATAACAACCTGGAGCACATCAACACACCGTCAGCCTGGCACACCCTGGACATGCTGCTTCTAATGATGGTAGAGCTGCAGCCAGCGGATGTGATCCTGAGACTTGTGCGCCTCTCTCCAACATGTGACAGGTACTGACCGCCACAGCCCTTGTGGGTTTGTTCCATGTGGGGAGAGGGGCCTGGAGGCCCACAGAAAACTACAGGGCACCCCTGAGAAGCAGGGCCCTGCACCCCACCACTCTCTCCAGCCCTGCTGGGTCGGCTAGGCCTGCAGTAGCCAAAAATGGCCAAGCCAGATCTGAATCCCTGCACGAGGTTCCTCCCTACCCCATTGGGAACACTGTCTCAGCCTCCTCTTGCCTGCCCAGGCTGGGACCTGGGCACTCCAAACAAGGGGTTGGGAAGGGCCAGGACTGCAGGACAGCCTGGCTGCTGCAGGACTGGCCCAGGCACTGTGTGGTCCTGAGGTGGCCCTGCCAACAGAGTGCTCTGCGTCTGCAGTGTTGCTATGTCCATGTGGGAAATGCTGCTGTCCCGGCACCACATCTTTGAGAACGTCCTGAGGAAGCTGAGCATCAGGTTCCACTACCTGAGTATGCGATGGAGATTCAGCTCCCACAAAGTGGAGGCCTGCATCCAGCTCTTGGCTGTGAGTAACCAGACCAGTCCTTGCTCGTGCTCAGGGCTCTGCCTGCCTCTCCAGGAAAACAGGCACAGCCCTCTCCCCTGCTATCTGCCCCAAACGGTCACAGAGGAGGACACAGCCCCTTAGGGCTAGCCCAGCACCAGGTTCCCGTAGGCCAGCCATGCAGGGCCACGCTGTCTGGGTGCAGGTGCACAAAGTGCACCCTGTCTGCCCAGGTAGTGCTCTGCTTGCACAGGCAGAGCCAGCACAGACAAGTGTGTGGTGTGTCCCACAAACGCTGAGTGTCCCCCAGGACAGGCTCTCCATCCCCAGTGCCCTTGCCCTGAGCTGCCAGTGGGACCCAGGGGCTGTACTGTGCGGAGAGCCCTGCAGGCTCGGCTGGTCTCTCACTGCCATCTTTGTTTCAGCTGCTGGACTCCAGCCATGTGACACCAAAAATGTTTGCTGGGGTGTACAAAATCCGGAAGTCACTGATGTCTCCAAGGCTGTTCTTGCTGGTGCTCCAAGGCCTGGTCACACTGTCACAGTCACCTGACACGGTGAGCAGGGCATAATCAAGTGAAGCAGTGCTGGCTGACTGGGGCTGGGCAGTGGGGAATGCAGTGGCTTGACCCGGGCTGGGAGTCGGGAGCTGGGGTGGTGGCTCCAAATGCCCTCAAAGTCCACTCATGTGCCCCGATCCCCTCAGTGCACCCATGGGCAAGGCCTGCCAGGAGGCTGCTGCAGGAATTCCTGTGCCATGGCCCATGCAGCCCAATGGGAGGCTGGTGCTTAATGGCCAGAGCTTTTTGGCCTGGGTGGTCTTTTACTACTTCAAAAGGAAGAAATTCTGTGCTTCTTACAGGCAAAGAAAATACTGGTCATGCTGCCAGATTTGATGAAGACCCTGCAGAGTACCCACAGCGACAAGATGAGGGCCCTGCTCATATTCAGAAATGTAATGGGTCATTTGAAGAAGAAGGTCAGCTCCATCGCTCTGGAGCTGGCCGAGAAGCTCCTTCAACTCTTTGATGATGTAAGGCTGCTGTGGAAACCTGAGTCCCATTGATGGGCCCTTTGCAAGAGCAACTGCCCGGCATCACAGCCTGGCGGCAGCGCTTGCCCAGGCCTATGCCCCTCCTCATGCACCTGCGCTCTCGTGGGGATGGCCTCTGGTCTCTGCAGCCCAGCCCAGCTTCTTCCTGACAGGCTGATGGCTCTGGAAAACCTGAGGCGCTCCCCTCAGCCACGCTGATGCCCTGGCTCAGGGAGCAGCTGTTACTGAAGTCCTCCTGTCCTCCTCCCTACCAGGAGTGCAGCCAGGTGCAAGAGCTCTCCATCTGCCTCTTCAAAGACATAATACAGATGGCGGATTGGAAGGACAAGCGGCAGATGCAGAAGAAGGTGCGGAGGAGCCTGGTCCCACTCGTGTTGCACATGAGTGACGAGATTGAGAGCGTGGCCAAGGTACAGATTCCAAACCTAAGCAGTGGTTCAGGGCAGGGCATGCTGAGCCCGCAGGGGTTGCCTGGACATCACGGAGGTCAGGAGCAGCTGACATGGACATTTCCCACACCTGCCCTACATGGTCCAGCAGGGCTTAGCAGCAGTCTGTGACCACCAAGGCCTGAAGAGCGGACTCTGCAGGGGCTTCCCAGCTGTCCCTGCAAGTGCTGGGGGCCAGGCCTTTGGGTCCCAAGCCCTGTCCACAATCTCCCCAATCCTTGTCCCCCTCTGCAGGCCTCTCAGGAAGCCTTCTGTGCAGCTGTGAAGGTGCTCAAATGGAAATGGCTCAGTCACCACACACAGACACTGGAGAGATGGAAAACTGTGGAGCGCTTGGTAAGGACAAGTCCCAGGCTGGACACGGGGTGGTCCTCTCACCTCCCCACCCTCAGGATGTTGCAGGAGGCCCATCTGGGCCCTGGCAGTGGCACAGGGAGCTCTCAGGAGCTCCAGACCCTGCTCTGCCTTCAGCTGTCTCTGAACCTCAGCCCCACGGGGCTTCTGGCTGGGAGACGCACATGGCCTGAGGAACAAGGTGTGGGGTGCTGGTAGGAGGACCCGACCCAGGCGACTGGGGAAGGTCTGTGTCAGCCCTGGGCCTTTGTGCTCTTTCCAGCTGAAGCAGGAGCAGAGCAGAGCTGAAGAATATGTGTGTCAGAGCCTGCTTTACCTGCAGCACACTCAGGTCAGCGTGCGCCTGGCAGCCGTGAGGTTCATCGGTAAGCTGCAGCCCCTGGAGTCCCTCTTTTGGCAGCCTGGCCCCAGTCACATCTGCTGCACTGGCAGCGAGGAGCAGCCTTGCGGCTGCCAGAGCATTGACTGCACCATGCAAGGACTGTGCAGCCAGGGGCTCTGTGCTTCCCCCTCCAACCCCTGCCCTCGCAGTGGGGCTCAGTGGCACCTTGCTCAGTGCCACCTCCCCTCGCATCCTGTCCTTCCCTGGGGTCACCCTGCTGAGGGGAGGAAGGGGTGCAGAGAAACCAGTGCAGAGGTGGGCCCATGCTGCTGAGAGTGTGCTGGGCAGCAGCAGGTCTGACAGAGCTCTCTGCACAGGGCTGGCCGCGCGGTGCCTGAAGGACAACAGTGAGACCACGCTGCAGGATGTCTGCAAAGGTAAGCAGAGACAGTACTGTGTGTGCTGGGGCTGGTTGGGCAGGGGACAGAGCCTGGGCAGCGTGCTGCCATGCCCTGTCCTGCTTCAGGGAACATCTCGGGGGCATTTGTTGCATTCCTGAGAAGCAGCTTCGAGGTGATCTGTTTGCCCCACCTGCACCTCCTGACCAGGGAAAGGGATGGCTTGGGCTGGCATGGTCTGGAAGGGATGCCTGCTGATCTCTGCAGATTGGTGGGTTTCAGCTCTGCTCTCTTTCCTTCTGTTGCAGCCCTCCATCATTTGAGAAGAGATGAGGAATCCCAGGTCTCATGCCTGGCATCTCAGACAATACACATCCTCACCTGTTCCCGAATGCAGGCAAGACAGGGATGGATCCGGCGGACGCTGTGCTGCTGCCTCTGAAAAGCCAGGCAGCAGTTAAGCCCTGCTTAAGAAAATGGGTCTTTTTGATTAAAGTTCTAACCACAATTCCAAGGCCATGGTGTCCTTCACACTCAGCGCGGAAAGGCCAGTCAGGAGCTGCTGGACAGCGGTTGCGCCCCAACCGCCCTCATCTGCCCAGCCATGGTCACTGGGAGCACCACTGCCAGAGTGCACAAAAGTCAGGGCCACACCTCCACAGTTTCTCTGAGCATCCTGTTCCATTGCCTCACAACCCCCTCCACTGCAGGCACCCCCTTCAGCCACTCCATCTGAGTGAAGGCATTGGCCACCACCAACATAGATGGTGTAGGTCACCCCTGCTGGAGCTGCAGCCTTTGCTCTCCGATAAGTGCCCACCTTTCTTCCTTAAGGGTTACATGGCATGTGTGCCCTGACCTGTGTAGGCAGCCTTGGAATGTCTCTCCTTCCAAGAGGTGCCTGCCCTCCCTGCACACCCTTCTATGCCCTGTTCTCTGTGTTCCCAGCACTGCCTTTTGCAGGATCTTAGAGTGGCCCCACCCAGTTCCCAGCAGGTCTTGGAGCTCGTGTGGGTTTCCCTGGCTCAAGAAAACTCCACTGTATGGCACTGTCTGCCGTGAGCCCCTGATCCACTGAGGAACGTGCCTTCCCTGAAGATGTTCGCTTAGGCAGATCTTGTTCAAGGGTCTCTCAGATGCTTAGGCACCCTTTCAGTTCTTCTCTGTGCTTTCAGTGCTTCTGTGTGCTTCTATCTCTCACATTTACATCAAAGTACATGCTCTTATGGGCACCGGCTTTCCCTTTGCTACAGAAAATCCTTTTTTTGGGTGGGGCGGGTTAGAGACACAGTGTTGGCTACTGTCGTGGTTTAAACCCAGTCAGGTAATTCGTTCGCTCACTTCCCCCCCTTTCTTGCCCTCCCCCTGCTCCCGGAGGGACAGAGAGGAGAATCGAAAAGAATGCAACTCCCATGGGTTGAGATAAGAACAGTTTAGTAACTAAGGTATAACACAAATCACTACTGCTACCACCAATGATAATAATGATAAAGGAAATAACAAGGGAAGAGAATACAACACCTCAGCACCAACCGACCGATCACTCGCCCCCCAAGCCCGACCAAGCTCCGACCGATACCTCCTCCAACCCCGCAGTCTCCCAGCCCTTCCGGCTAACTCCCAGTTACATCCTGGGCATGACGTGCTGTGGTATGGAATACCTCTTTGGTCAGTTTGGGTCAGGTGTCCTGTCTCTGCTTCCTCCCGGCTTCCCCTCCTCCCTGGCAGAGCATGAGGCTCACAAAGTCCTTGGCCAAACCAAAACATCTCTATCAGCTCTGTTCCCGAGCCGAAAGTCAAAACACTGCACTGCACCAGCTACCAAGGAGGAGAAACATGACTGCTACTGCTGAACCCAGGACATTATCCACCCCTTATTCCATACCATTCACGTCATGCTCAGATCCCACATTTTCAATATACCATCACTCTTATCTCGGTGCACTCTTATCTTAGTGCATGGACCAGTCCCTATAAAGCTACTGCGTCCATCTGGTCCATGTCAGGCTCCATCTCTTGTAACAGTCTTCCAGAGCAGGAGAGACTGTGTGCAGTGTTCACACTTGTGAATAACCTGGGCAATAGTGTCCATTGTTAAGTCCACCCCTCGATCATGAGTCCATCTCTGTGTTGCATCTCTGCTCTGATGGCCTGAAGTGCCATGGGCCCACCAGGCTTAAAATAATTCACTGTCCCCTTAAGCAGTTTCTGCAGCTTGTTGCTGGGTACTCCATACAGCTGCCTTCCATCTCCGACGCTTCCAAAGCACTGGAGGGGCCCAGTGGACTAGATACTTGCCCATACTGTCCCACACACCCTGCCACTCATGACTGTCCAGCCTTGGGGAAAACCTCTTGGTCCCCCTATATTGTCGTCTAACCCCGGACAAGACCCAAACCTGACTCTGCTTAACTGTTGAGATCAGACAAAATGGTTGTGGGTAGAACACAGCCTGTGTGTGTGCCAACATGCTGATCCCCATCACAATCAGCAGGCAGGTCCCAGGGATACCCAAAGGCCATTCAGAGCCTTCAGAACTCTCAGTTGATGCTGCTGTGCTTGTCACTGGGGCTGGTGTAGCTGCTGTGCCTCCCGGCTCTCCCACCGCCAGCTTCTCTTTTCCTGAGACCAGCTCTTCCTCCTCTGCCTTGCTGGGAAATGCTGCGTGGTCTCCTGCATCCTCCTGGGGCTCGGCGGGCGGCTTCCGGGGAATGCTCTCGGCCGTCGCGGGGCTCGGCTCGGCCGCGGGGCTCGGCTCCTCCGCGGGGCTCGGCTCGGCCGCGGGGCTCGGCTCCTCCGCCGCCTTCTCCCTCTGCTCTGCAGCCGCCTCCTTCCGCTCCTCGACCTCCCCGACCTCCTCCACCGGCAGCCGTCCCCTCGCGGCCTCCGGCCCCGCTCCCGCCGCCGCTTGGTCCCCGGGGCCGCTCTCCTGAGCCGCTTCGGCTGCCGCCGGCTCCCGGGGCCGCTCCCCCTCGGCTCCCCGCAGCCTCACGAAGATGGAGAGTAGGGCGAGGGCCAGGACGGTGAAGAGCAGCCGGACGGCCAGGTACAAGTCCACGGCCACGTCCGTCCCGCCCTGCTGCTGGAGCCCGCCCGTATTACAAGCCATTGCCATAAAGCGCAGTGAGACAAGAACCTTAGCCCAGGCCCCACACTTGATAAACACTATCACAGCAAATACCGGCTCTACGTAAGTTACAACATTCTGAAGCTGTGAGATCAACAAGAACAACTCTGAGAGCCAATAAATCAGCATTGTGACGAGTGACTATTAATCCGGTCAGATCTGTCGTTATCTCAACCCCTCGTGCCCCACGTTGGGCGCCAAAAAGAACTGTCGTGGTTTAAACCCAGTCAGGTAATTCGTTCGCTCACTTCCCCCCCTTTCTTGCCCTCCCCCTGCTCCCGGAGGGACAGAGAGGAGAATCAAAAAGAATGCAACTCCCATGGGTTGAGATAAGAACAGTTTAGTAACTAAGGTATAACACAGATCACTACTGCTACCACCAATGATAATAATGATAAAGGAAATAACAAGGAAATAACTCTTTGCAATACGCTTTTGAGACACTTGGAGGAAAGACAGTTTAAAAATGCTAAGTATTATTAATTATTTTCTCAGTTATTGTAATATTTTCCCTTTGCTTTGAAAAAGGCACACTTCCCTCTTGATACCGGGAAATAAAGGGTTAAAAGTGTTCCTGCTTGCTTAAGCAGTCGCTGTGCTTGGTGAAGCAGAATTGTAGGAGTTACAGCTACTAAGCAGAATTGTAGTAGATAAGATTCATAACTTAATATTTAAGACATTCTTCTTTAAATAATATATTTAGAAAGAAAGGGAACAATAGATAGCCAGAGTAACAAAATTTACAAACTTGACAAGTTTCTGCTTTAAGATACATAAAACCGGCTTGCACCGAACCTGAGTTTTGGATAGGAGCCAAAACCCTATTGAGTCTGCATGAATGCAAGAGGTTACTTGCGGTGATGAAGAGGAACTACAGGCCTTCATCCTCACGATCCTCTAGGGACCACAACCAGGAGGCACTGTGCAGGTGCACCAATGGAACGAATGCCAGAAAACTAATTATAATACTAGACAGGAATAGGGTTTGCATATGTATTAGGCGTGAAGCAATCTCATGTTTAGGCAATCATTATATGTAATATAAATGAACTGAGTGGCAAAGAAAAGGTGCGCATGCTTTTGGAGGAGCAATCCCCATGCGCCTCAGCGCTGAATAAAAGCATACCTACTTTACAACTCTAACGAGTTGTGGAGTCTATGCACGTATCCCTCTGAAAGTTTCCATACCAAATTTATCTATTCTATCTTTTAAAAGTGTCTAACATCCCAGGAAATAAAGAACAGAAATGTCACAGCATAAAATACAATCTCTTCTTTGTGGAAAATTTTGTCATATTTTATCTGCATGCTAAATTTGCATGTGAATGGACAAGTATTCATGGTGAAACCATTAAGCCCTCACTGGGTGAATGGAAATACAAATACTTTGAAAAATTAATACAAATATGCATGCAAGCTGTGTGTTTTCCCAGCATGATATATGGATTTTTTCTCCTCTGTATTAGTTCAAAATGTGAATACATTAGGGGCTTAAAGAGCTGGAAGCATTCAAAAATATTCTAACTGGAACTAGGACTAGATCAGAAAGGTGAGTAGGCTTTAATGTACTGTACCTTAACTCTAGCCAAACTCAAGGAGTCCTTTGTGAGATCACTTGAAATGCAAGTGTAAGTCCTTGCTTGCCTGAGGCAGTCCTGAGTAGCCAGAATTGTAGATCCCCTATCTGCTTATCTTGTCCAGACCAGCTATTTAGTGGTCTTTCACAGAAAAACATTATTTTTCTTACCCCAGATCTTCACACTGTGATTTGTCTCCCCCCCTTTAAGTTGTAGCCCTGTTTTCACACCATAGTTGCGATGTAGAAGTGATTGTGTGATTGTATTGAAATATCATCACTGTAACTTATCTAACAGAATGATATCAGTCTCATCTTGTTCTGAACTTTAAATAAAATCTATTAAACCTGCTGAAAGCTTTAGGTCAGCTCTCCTGTTGCAAAAGCCTTTTAAAAGTATTTGTAGCTGTGGGAAGGTGTAGGGAGCTCAGGTGGACAAGAATACCACCTTTTAGTTGCTTTTATATAAAAAGTTTAGACACAGTCATCCTCATCATCTGCAAAAGGTAAGAAATGTGTAGATTATCCTCTAAAACATGATGCCAGTTGTATGGAAATGAGACTCACTGTGGTCTTTTTGTAACTAAAGATTTTAGCTACCTATATTAATATGCCATCTGATCTTACAAAGAAACATATGCCAATCACTATTGGTGTTCATGTTAAGATTTTCTAATTAATACTTGCATATTATTAAAATCTCCTACTTTCCTTAAGGGGCATTCAAAATCCAACCTTGGAATTAACTTGAACTTCAGTGTAAACTATCAGGCTGACTTTTGTGGCTGCCTCTGCTGTGTAAATATTGCAAAGGGCTTGTCTGCTCTTGCCCCACACCTGATGCTCTCCTCTGAGAGATTAGACACGTACATGCACTTCTAACGCTTACATCTCCTATGGGAAGCAATACACCTATAAGATAATGAACAAGAAATCAAAGCCCGTTGAAGATTGTTATTCTCAGATCTGCAGCATTGAAAGTATCCACTGGAACCTATGGTTATTCAATGATTTTGGGTGTCCAGTTTAAGATATCTTGAAGATTCCTATTTTCTGGACAATGTGTGCTCAGAACTTTCCGGTAAAATAGCTCAGGGCAGGTCTGCAAGACTGTGGGCATCAGTCTACTTATCAGTCAAAGATATGCAGGTGCTAAATACAGCAAACCCTTATTTCACTCATATCATGAGACAAAGTATGGTTCTTTACATGTTTCACCTGTTAGCAGCAGAAAGCAAGTTCTGTTTCAAATGTGCTATTGTGTATGTATGTGTTTCTGGTTCCTTGGGATGGAAGAAGTCAAGTACTGGAAGATGACTCCTTTGTTCACATCCATAAGCTTCTTACTTGGGATCCTTTCTTTAAACATGTATCATTA